AACAACCAAGGAAGGGAATGCAAGCATTGTAATAAGATTGCCGAGACACTTCGCAATCTCATTTTGGTCTCCTTGGCTATCGGTGTCTTTGAAAAACACTACACCCGCGCGTTAGGACCTGCAGATTGCACATCAAGTATACCGGTGCACTCGCAAGCTCCACGCAACGAACCAGATCAGCGTGATGGATTAACACCCTCTTTTAGTCGCTTGCGTGCGAAAAGTGATAAAAATTTGTTAGATTGTGGCCGAAAATTGATCACTGTTTGCTAGATAAAAAGCACTTTCTTGGCTTCAGTGCGGCACAGCGTTTGATATAGTGGATGCCCGCTGTGCGGGAGTATGAGATACGGCTGCACCTGTCCCATACTTTTACATGGGAAATTTCAAGGGCATTTTTCAACTGTTCGATATAGCCAAATATTTGACATATCTGAGTTTCATATATTTGGGATTGACTGTAATTATGACTACGTAATGTATACAGAAAGAAGTAAGTGGTGTCGAACAGTGTATACATGTGTAGTACGTAATGAATGAGTTCATGAAATTGCTCACTTTTGATGGCAGGGCCTCTGCGAATTCATTGGCTCTGAGAAATTGCTAGTTTTCCAGCATGAAATACCAGCTTTTTATAATGTCGGGCAACTGACATCTTGTGCACTTCAAATTGTTTTCTTGATTGGTACATGGTGTGCAGTAGACCGCACTTGAGCCTGTTTGTGTGGTGATTCTGCATGCGCCTACATGGCAACATGCTGTGCCAGTGGTAGCAAGAATAGATAGTTTTCGGTTGATCAAGAAAAGTTGGTAGGTGCCTGTTGGGCACCCTAGAGGTGCTGCTGCTACAGTTGCTAGGATAAGAGGCAGAGGCGAATGGACGCATTTTGATGCTCTGTTTCAGGGACTTTAGTCGTGTCGGAGAATGCTCGCAAAAACACTGTATATGGTTCAACCATAAGAAGCCTGTTCTTGAAGGCGTGTCTATTGAATTGCACTAACAGTATATGGGCCACAAAAGCGTGATTTTCAAACTAGGCATTTCATTAACGCAAAACAAGTGCTAAGAAGTTTCTAGATTGGCATATCAACAATCCGCATTGACTTGATATTAACCTTTAGTGTCTTTTTAATTGTAGAGAAACTTCTATGGCGTAAAACACCTGTGAGAATGCAGTCAATTACCACTTCAGTTAGACTGATGGGACACATCTGTTGTGTAATTTTGTTGTAGTGAGATTTCATGTACAGTGGACTCCCATTAAATGAAACTCGCTTGAATGGAAAAGCCACATATATCTAGGCACATTAGGTTGGTCTCCTATATATTTATTGATAAAAAGTTGCGGGTAATCGGAACATTTTTTTTCCGCTTACATCGGTTAAATGTAACTAAAACGCGCAAAATCCATGAACCGCGGAAGTGGCCACGGCAGTCCCGCAATCACGAAACAAATGCCGAAGCTAGCCTAGCCAAGCCAATCCAGTGATTGCACATGTCCGCGCACGCCGAGCAGCAAATGATTTATCTCTGTCCTATCTTCTTTTGCTTCCATCTCGTCGGGAACTTGAAATGGAAACAAAAAAATCGGCAGCACAATGCACTTTTGTTCGCAACGAAAGTAAAAATCATTCAAGAACTTGACCGCAACAACCTCTTGAAGACAGAAATTGCGAAGAAGTTCTTTTTGACAAGCACGTGACAATATTTCGAAGTCCACACTGTTGAGGATACTCAAGAACAAAGGGAAAATTGAAGCTGCAAAGCTTGGGAACTTCGCCACGAACAGAATGCGGACGAGAACGGCGGCGTTCAAAGAAATCGTCTACGCTCTTTTTCTCTGATTCAAGCGTACGCGCAGTGCGAGCTTCTCGATCAGCGACCCCATTTTCGAAGAGAAGGCCAAAGAGATTGCTACTCGCATGGGGATCGAGCACTTGCGGGTGAGCGATGGCTGTCTGAGCGGTTTTGAAAAGCGGCATGGTCTTGTCTATAAGATAGTTCCTGGAAAAAGTGCGGCTGTAAACAGAGATATCTGTAAGCAATATTAGCAACATTTTTCTTTCTAATCAACTATATACAGTAAAAGCTCATTAATTGGAACAGTAAGGGGAAGCCACCTCAGTTCGAATTAACGAAAGTTCGAACTAACGAAATTGAAGAACAAAAGTACCCTGTGAGTAGCTCATAACAATTTTTTTTTTTGCAAACAATCTGTTATTACGGTCTGCTTTCTTTTCTTGAAGGCGACAGCCAGCACTTTTTGCTCTAACAAGCGAATTTGGCGGAAGGCCTCTTCTCCGCCTTCTTCAAAATTTGAAGAAAGACGGCATTTGAAAAAAGACGACATTCAATCCGGCCATGACTTCCGCAGCAGAGGGCCGCACTGGTGCTTCGTCCTCCTCCTCATCATCGTCACTGGCAGCGACAGGTTCTGCACTTCTCACCTGACATATTATGTCGCCATCCATGAGTGCACCACACACCGCTAAACTTGAGTCCACATCGACGTAGTCCGCAAAGAAGACGTCTTCCAAAATGTCCACCATGGGGGCGGTGACGCCATGTTTGAGCACTGGTGACTTGTCAGCTTGCAGAGCTTCAGTGCTGAAGCCACAGTGGCGAAAGCAATTTGCTATCGTAAGCGCTGTCACTTGCTCCCAAGCACGCACAAGCTTGTGTAGTGCACTTAGGAGCGTCACTTGATAGTTATTGCACAAAATAATTCATTCCAACATATGAGGCCGATAAAATGATTTTAAATTTCTAATTGTACCCTGGTCTATGGGCTGCAGTACCGCTGTCGTGTTTGCTGGAAGGAAGGCCAGCTTCTCGTGTTTGCTGGAAGAAAGGCCAGCTTCTCGTGTTTGCTGGAAGGAAGTGTTTTGGCGCGGTATTTGCCGCGGGCACACGGCATCAAGTCGGAGCAGCAGAATCGCGACAGACGGGAAGCTACTACCGGTGCTACCGCAACAAACGTTAGCCGAGGCCTAACACCAACACAAAGAATCGAGACAGTCGGAAGCTACTCCCAGCACCAACAACAGAGGTGTACGACGCACGCCTGAGACAGAGACTGCAGAGAAGGCTGGGCGAAGCTACGCTGCAGCCGATTTGCTGTGTGCTGGTCATGCCATCTGTCGTCTAACAGCGACAACTACGGCTCCGAGATTGGCGCTTGAAAAAAAAAATATCTTGTAGGGGGCTGAAAAGTAAGTGGTGCTATTTTCTGCACTGTGGCCTCCGTGCCAGTTTCTTCGTTTCTCTCTCCGCTTCCTGTCAATGCCGCCTCGTAACTCGGTAGCTGCCCTATTGAGTGACTAGCCAAGCCGCCTGCGCGGTGGCGCGTAGTTCGAATTATCCACTAGAGGTTACGTAGGACGGAGAGCAGGCAGCCGCCGAGAGAGAGAGAGAGAGATTGTGGGGGGAGGGGGGTGAAGAGTAACTGGTGCTATTTTCTGCTCTCTGGCCTCCATGCCAGTTTCTCCGTTTTTCTCTCCGCTTCCTGTCAACGCTGCCTCGTAACTCGGTAGCTGCCCTATTGAGTGACTAGCCAAGCCGCCTGCGCGGTGGCGTGTAGTTCGAATTATCCACTGCGGAACCTACTCGCGCCCGAATTAACGGGCTTTTTTATTCATAGGCTTGTATGGAGATTGGCTGGACCATAACTTACAGTTCGAATTGTTCATAAATTCCAATTATTGAAGTTCGAATTAACGAGCTTTCACTGTAAGTATTGTATAGTTCAAAATGTTTTTGTTCAGTCAGCCACAGTTGGTGCTTTTGAAATAGTCATATTTCATTCATTTTGTGGGCCTTGCTTAAATAAAACTTTCCATAAATGGAACAAATTTTCTTCGCCCTTTCGAGTTATGTTTAAGAAGAGTTCACTGTATAGACCACAAAAGTTAGAAATATCTGATAATTATGGCTCGTCCGCTGGTACCGGTAAGCGTATGCATTGTCTTTTGCACGGAACTTTTGCTAACTCCATATTATTTGGTCGCACACAGCGCAAGTATATTTTCTCACTCATAACTTGCACAAAATGTACAGTGTTGTCTACTCTTAGGATGAACACCACTCATTGTGCCCACATTCCGTGTAGTGCCATTGCATCTGGCATGGTTGGGCATGGAATCGAAGTGACACAGGTGCACATGAGCTTGTCATTCTTGCTGCAATTCTTGTTGTAATCACAACCATGGAAGCTACTATTGAACAGTGCATGCCAGCACTGTAGGAGACGATGCGAAATATCACCTGTGGCTTCCTGTGTTGCCATGCTTTTGATGCATGGCCGCGCTGAGTCGCGTTCACCGTAAAAGCACATGACATTGCACAGAAAACAGGAACTAAGTGTTGAAGTGCAGGTTGTACGCGAATTTAAGGGTACAAGTTATCTTCACAGCACGACCTCATGGAAATGCATGGAAGGTATGCATGGGCGGGTTATGCATGAGAAAATATGGTATTCAGACTACCCTTGAAGTGTGGTAATCAGTGTGTTATGAATGGGCTTTTCAAAGCCCATTCACTCACACACATAGATGGAGCCTTTGCACATTATTGTGAAGATTTAGATTTTTAGAGTGTGATCATCCCTGTACATGCACAACACTTCGTGGATTTTTTTTAGCTCTTGTGTGCTGAATGCTGGTGCTCCCCTTTGCTACAAATCTGGTACATTAGAATTCAGTAAATGACTGTATGCAGTAGTAATGCTGATGCCGTCCGTAGTTGTGAGAGATGGTGCTTATGAATTTATGTAAAGAATGTCTCTTATTGAACTTGACATCCTGTGGCAGTGGTCATATTGAAATGCTATTTGAAAGAGCACTGGTACAAAATTTTAACAAAGCAGTGACTCCAATTAATGAGCTTGTTTCTCAGGCTGAAGAAATGTTTTATATCTATATCAGAGTTTGTTATAAATAATTGTTGGCTTGGATGTATAACCAGTTTTGAATTAACCCTGGTCTTTTCTTCTCACTTGCAGGCCACCCCATTTTGCGAGAAAAAGGTGTGGAAGCAGTAGTGCCTCTTCCTAGATTTTGTTTGATACTCATTTTACGTAGTACTTTTTTAATTAGAATTATGGCACAATGAAACACAATCTTTGTTATATAGTTAGATACAATGGACAGGCTACTTAAAAAAACCAAAGCTTTTTGTTTTGTTTTCCTTGAACTTTTTATGCTCGTTTTTGTTTTCTTTTAGCGTAAATAATGTTTCAATTGTTCAAACAACGTACATACTCTGTCAGTTTCTGTGCACATTTTCGAAACTTGGCAATAAACCTTGAATACTGGTTTTTACTTGGGTCACTAATTGGAATGTGCATTACTTCATGTACAGCCAAGTAAATCACTCTGTAATTGTTCAGGAATGTTTTATGTTTATGTTGCAAAGAAAGCACACATGGACATGGCAAAGCAGATCTAAACTGTGTAACAAGTATGCAGGAAGTGAGTAGACAACAGTGAATATCGTGTGCAGAATGTAAATAATTTTAGCCTTAAACGAATATTTAGGGCATTTCATAAGTTTTACTTTATTGATGGGTCCTGAAAATATCAGCACTCTTACTATAGATGACTACTTAGTTGTGTATAATATAATGTTTTGCAGACAGTAGATCGTGTGAGAAAATGGGAAATGTTATGAATTTTGTAAAACAAAGCGATCTTGGGCTGCGACAGCAATCTTAACAGTCATGCTGTACAAGGTATCGCTGCTTTTTTCAAACAAAAACGGCACTGTTATAACACTTTCAGAATTATCATTAACAGTGCAAAGTAACAGTGCTGTCAATTCTGTAAAAGATCCAATAAAATTGGTTTGAATGTATTTGCCTTCATGTTGAAACGCAGCTGTATCATTTTGTAATGAATAAGTAACCAATGCATTTACAAGTTTTAATTGGAACATACAATACGATTTGTAGGGGGAGTTATAGGGGTGTTATGATTCACTTTTAGGATAATAATAATAATTGCTTCAGTTTCATGGATGAAAGTCGCATGAATGAGCAAGGGACTTTCACTCGTGACGAGACAATTAGCTGAGCTTGCCGGGCAGCTTTTGACAAGGTCGGGGAAGACTTGTTTGCATTTGGCTTGCAGAATGTGAGGTCTTTGCTGAGCCATGACGAACTGCAAGGGCACAATGATATGCTTTCCCGAGCCGCGAAACAGCCGTATGCAGAAAGATTCAAAACTTTTGTATAACCTCAAGAGGTTAGAACAAGCTTGGTGCCGATCAGCCTCGCTATTTTTCGCTTTGTGCCTCTAGTTCAAAAGCTACCCCCACCCCCCACCCCCCTTTTTTTTTATATCTAATGCAGGCCTTTGGTACAAATCTATCAGTCATGTTCCCATCGTTTTCTCGCACGTTCTCTACGTCATTGCAAAAACACTGCCACGGTTGAAGTGAAGTAACAAAGATTCAGCCAGCTCTGCTTGTTGGTTAGCTGGCGGTGTGCAATGGGGTTGAGTGAAGTGGGAATGATGTGGCATGAAGTGACTAGGTGGCTGAAGGGGGAGGAGTGGCGGGGGGCAGTAGTGGCGACTTGTGGGAAGAGAGGCAGATATTCGTAACGGATACTTTCTGTGGGCAAGCCCGTGTGCTCAGATTTGGGTGCATGTTAAAGAACCCCAGGTGGTCGAAATTTACGGAGCCCTCCACTACGGCGTCTCTCATAATCATATAGTGGTTTTGGGACGTTAAACCCCACATATCAATCAAACTTTCTGTGGGTAAATTTCTCTACAATATCTAGGATAATCTCCGGACATGAATGACTCGTAATAAGTACAGCTTTGCTAACAAAACTGGTTCATTAGCTGTAATTAATTAATGGCCTTAGGGCAGTCGTTCAGTTGTAGGCTGTTAATATTGACTGCATAACTGCGAAATTTTACTGTATCGAATTCGGTAAATCGATTGAGAATTTGTATCAAAACTATTCGTGAATGCGACAGTGCATAGGGAAATTTACGGCTACATTGAAGGAAAATAGCCGGAACACTTGATGTGTCGAAGATCGGGCAGTGTGAAGCGCCACAATAAGTTGGCTTTCCCCTATTTATTTATTTATTTATTTATTCATAATACCCCTAAAGGCCCTCGTGAGAGGGTATTACATAGGGGGGGTTACATGAGCAAAATTACAAACAATAAACGTCAAAAACGAAAAAAAAGGTCAAAAAATTAAAATAAATACAGACTAAGGTTGAGATATATGTTATAACAAGTAATTTGTAAAGACAGCAAAAATAGAGAAAAGGATAGGCAACAAATCAACTACCTACCTACTAGTTTGTTTCTCTGCAATGAATGAGAGTATCTCGCTCGCCTAATTATCCCGCTCGCGTAATCAGGATGGCGAGCAAGTAGGAACTACCGCTTGTGATCGTGTACTTTCTCCTATGATTTCTCGTTACGCCTATTGGGCATAGTAGAGCAGCACATTCGAACGCAAACTAAAGAAGTCTGATGTCACTGCCACGTACAGCATTATAAGAAACACGTTGAGTGCCCCGCCGTGGTGGTCTAGTGGCTAAGGTACTCGGCTGCTGACCCGCAGGGCGCGGGTTCGAATCCCGGCTGCGGCGGCTGCATTTCCGATGGAGGCGGAAATGTTGTAGGCCCGTGTGCTCAGATTTGGGTGCACGTTAAAGAACCCCAGGTGGTCTAAATTTCCGGAGCCCTCCACTACGGCGTCTCTCATAATCATATCGTGGTTTTGGGACGTTAAACCCCACATATCAATCAATCAGAAACACGTTGAGTATTATATCGAAAAGCATGACCAACAAAAGCCAAGACAGACCAGATGCTTTCGGTGCCTGCTGAGTACGTGCAGCTGCGTATGATGTGGAAGCACTGTTTAGATCGATACCATATTGTATGTCGTATAAGACAACCGTGAATATAAACCGCACCCACTTATACAAAAACATATCTGCCAAGACTTTCGGATTGTCTGGGAGACTCCCGGATTCCGACCATTTTTTGCATTTGTACGGTTGTCGGGAAGTTCTCCAGAAAATTTCTGAGTGTGATATGGTTGTATTGACAAAAGTTAAACTCTGCCCGATCCAGGTTTTTTACAGTGAAAGCTGTTATGAGATTTGAACACATGTCACGTGCAGCACCATAGTTGTTCGCCGCCGCCGCTGCCGGTGTCCGTAACCAATTTCGCAAGAAATTTGAAAAAAAAAAAAAAAAACTCAGTAAATTGGATTCGAACTCGGGCCTGCTGCGTGCCAGCCCAGTATTCTACCACTGAGTTGCAAAACTAGCCTTAGGCAGGCTTGATGTCGGAAAAGAATCGCGCTAATATGAGTGATGTAGCATTTTAGAACATCACAGGAATAACTCGGCATCACACAATGTGAATTGCATAATGAATGGGTCATACAATGATTCTATCTATTGCAAAAGCTTGTTTTAATCACCTATTAACTGTGGTGCATACCCACTTCAGGCATAATTCTTCATCATCGTTTGCCACTGCATAAAAATATTTGCACAAAATTCCTAGCAAGTGTATAGTGGATGTTACGTGTCTCTGAAAAATGATGAAGGATAGCATAGTAAATGCCAGCCAACTACACAAAAATTATAATTAGTTATAACATAGTGGGCACCAAGCAAGTGTGATTGTAGCAGTTAATCAATTAGTTAAAAGGCTCTAAAAGGCCGCTCTCGCTGTGACAGTGCTGTTCATTCCCCTGAGGTCTGCATTTTTTTTTTCAGAACTATCGACACTCGCATTGAGAAACGTTAATGTAAATTTACACTAAAAAATCTCGGTTATATTGGAATTCATGTAATTCCACAGCCAAATTCTGCCGTGTGGGCTGAAGTTTGGACGTTCCAACCAAACTGTCAAGCCAACGCCTCCTTTGTCACTTTCAATGCCAGTGCAAACGTGCCCTTCTCAATGGGAACAGTTGGCCTGCCTTAGTTCAGGAAGTGGTCATGATGCGGCGCTAGATGAAGGGTAGTGCTGCTCGCGACACACGCGCTTCTAAGCGCTTTTCTCTGAAGATGCGATAGACGTGTTTCCCACTCCAATATCATGCCTCTCAGATTTGTTCCTTCGTGCTTTTGTTTTGGGGTGGGAAGCAATGCCGCCGCCATCTCACAGTGCTAGTTATGCAGCGGTGTCGCCGTGACGTGTCCCCACTAGTTGCCCACATAGGGCCAAGAATGTTTCTTATAGAACCAGCGTGATAACCAACATTATGAACAAGAGGAATGCAAGATGCCGCCCCACCGATCTGAACACAACAGAACAAAAAAAATTACTTCATATGATTTCCGCCATGAGGCACAACACGATGGGCTCTTTCTCCCCCATGACCGCAAAGCACTCGCAAAGGCTGGGCAATGGGAGAGAGCAGGAAAGGGCCGGAGGAGAAGGCGGTGAACAGCTGGATCGCATGAATCTAGCTGGCGTTTATAAAGTAGAGGAGGCGCTGTTCCAGAAATGGCCGAGAGAAATGTGCTGGAAGTTTCGGAATGAAGTGTGTGGCCAACCAAACCGCGGCCACTCTTGACACTATCATATATGACGACAACGAAATTCACAGAACTCCTTATATTTGGTTTCACTTTAAGGAACCCCAGGTGGTCGAACTTTCTGAGGCCCTCCATTACGGCATCTTTCATAATAATGTGGTGGTTTTGGGACGTTAAACCCTATATATTATTATTATTATTATTACTGACAGAACTCGTGAAAATTCCATCGCGCCGAATGCTCACCCAGCCAAAGCGACGCTTATTTCTGCAAACGCTGCAGACAAAACCGCAGCAGAGTCAATCTTAGATAGCAACAAGCAAGTTAGTTTTGACTAACTTGCTTCTTGCGTGGCTAGCGCACGCGGAATAAAAACTGAACTACCGTTTGCCACAACCACTGCCAACGAAACCGTGGTCGCTGCGACAAGATCATCGATAGCTACTATGAGCTCTGAAGGTGTGCGACTAACGCAGCGCTAGGTTAAAGGCAATAAAGGCATAAAAAAAAGGCATGACATGTTTCGGGGGTCATGGCGATCTTCATTTATGACTACGGCAGAACGGCCACTTTTTAGTTGGTCCTAAGCGAAGCCTTGACGCGCAGTTCCACGGCAGCCAGCTTTGCCGTCCATTTGCGAGTGTCCCACAAGAACGTACGCGAGTTCTTTTGATAGAAATAAATGTTTGTGTGTATACCATGGTTTGAAAACCATTTCTTGCTAGTTTTTTTCTTTATTTATTTTTTACACTAATCTTCAGGCGATGAGGATATTTTTGATCGGGCTTTACATTCGTACATTCACAGAGATTTTACTGTTTGGACACTGCGTCTGCGTAGTTTAGAAGCCACGACAAGACCGTAACGCCAATGTTTACGCTTACGTGGCTGATCGGGGCCTCCACGCCTTCCACGGTGTGTGCGTGCTTGTGTGTATGCGGGCAGAAAAGTGCTGAGGGGGCGAGAGATATGGCCCCCTCGTTGCGTAAATCTCCCTGATTCAGAATTCTCGAACTTGGCAGGTATGCAAAGAGCAGAAAAATGAACGCTAGATTAACTTATACGCAGCTGGGACACAACATCGTGAAAGCAGATTGAACTGCGCAGCTGGTGGCATCAGCGCCCTTTTCCTCCTTGGTTGCCTGGATGGTTTACTTCGCTAACCTATTGTTTGCAACGTCTGACCAAACAGAATCAACGACTGCTACAAGGGCATTTATAGATTTTTTCTAGAGTACTGGGCTCCACTGTGTTACATGGTCATTGTACTTACAAATCACCTCCTTTTGTCCCCCCGCTCATCATCTTCCTCCCCATT